CGCTGGGGCATCCCGATGCCGTGGGGGCGTCTGGGCGGCGCTGGGGCATCCCGATGCCGTGGGGGCGTCTGGGTGGTGCTGGGGCATCCTGATGCCGTGGGGGCATCGTGCTGGTGCACACAGCTCCTTCCTTGCTGCGGCACCCAGCCACTCATACATCACGCTGATTTATTACTCTGCGCCAGAGATGCCAAATCCCACGGAAAAAGGGGGAGGGCACATTCGGATTTGTTAACATAACTTGGGAAATATGCTCTTAATTTCTGCCCCAGTGTGTTCATAAAGAATGACTGGTTGGTGCTCTTACTAATCACAGAATATTAATTTTATTATATTAATACAGAATATTAATGCTTTTTTTTTGGGGAGGGGGTTACCTTGTAAATATTTCTCATCCTTTTTCCCTTTCTCAAAGAGGTAGCGCTGCCACCAGGCCCCATTTTGAAGTGGGGGGGGCGTTATTGACCGTTCAGCCTGAAACGGGGCTTCAGGGACGATGTGAGATTAAATGGAGCTCAGTCTGGGCCCGGCTCGGTTTGTAAAGTAGGCCTGAGACTGGGGCTTTCAGCCCATTCAGTGGAAACCTGTTGGGTCCTGACCAGCCCCCCCTGGACAAAGCACAGACTGAATGGAGCCATAGGTCTGTGCCGAGCGTGAAACTCGATTAGCTTGGCTGTCGGTGACGTTTCATTCTTTCAAAATTGCCAGTTGAATTCTGGGTGCCTGTTGGATCGGACCTGAACCATCTCCCTCCTTCCGGGTAGATTTTCGTATTGGTGACTTGATGAAGAGCTTCTCATGGGTAATCAGTCATCTCTGGCTTTATGAGTTTGCTTTTACGCTTTTGCCGTCTCTGAAATCCTGTGAAATTTAAAACAATCTGAGAGTCGGTGTGGAGTTTCGGGTCCCTGTGGCCTGAGACCTTACAGGAAGGAGCAAACAGGATGTCATGTCGAGGCCCGTAACCAAACCACAAGGTTGCCGTCAAGGGTACCGCTGGATTTTTTGACACTCTTTATTTAGACGCAAACATGGCTTCATCAGCCACAACATTTTGATCGATAGCATGTCAGACATGCCCTGAATGATAAAGTGATGTGGAAGCCCGTGCACATACACAGCTCAATCTCTCAGAATGAAAAACACGGTAAACATGCAGACGCATTTCACTGGGTGAGGCATGTCCGATGTCTGGGAATGCCGGGGGGGAGGGGTGGCCGTGCTGTCTGTGAATTCTGGGTAGCTTTGTTAGTATGTGCGAATGTGGTTAACAGCCAAACTCGAGGTTGGCTCTGCCCGCTCGGGATCACCGTGATGTTGGTGCCAGATCGCTCTCTGTGATCTGTGTACGACAAGGAGATCCTTCCATATAATAAAGATTCCTTCCCCACTGGGTGTTGACTTGGTTTGATGGATTCATGCCTTTAAGTTATAATAATACAAATGCTTTCTAATAACTGACCTGTTAGTCATTTTCTCTCTTGGCCCGGTTCGGGGATTCTGCCACACCGTGTCCTCGTTGGCTCTCACCTTCGCCGATCGCGGACACAGGCCTGGCCAAAGGGCTAGGATCCTGCTTACCGCGGCCCCTGGGGGGCGCTAATGAGGGAGAGGGAGGCGGGGCTCTGAAGCAGCAGCTGCACCCCCTGATCCCAGGTTCTGGTTCCTCACCCCCCTACTTCCATCTTCCTGCAGAAACCCAAGCAGAGGGACTGGCACCCTCCTGATGGCTTCATCCTCGGCCTGTGGACCCTCATCATCCTCATCTTCTTTAAGACCTATGGCATCAAGCACCTCAAGCACATCTTCTGAGCCTGGTGGGGGCTCTTGTGCAGGGGGGGCCGGGACATCTCCTGCAACGAGCTCAGCCGGGGGCAGTGTCACCATGGAGACGACCTCTGCCTTTTGACGTGTGTGATTGGTGTGTCTCTGCGGGTAGCATGACTGCACTGTTATGCCCATGATGCTGTGTGTCTGCTGAGGTCTGCTGTCAGGAAAAGGGCTGATTTGGCCCAGAATGGCCAGGCTTTTACACTGGTGAAGGTGACGGCTATCTGTGAGTGTCTGTGTTCGTGTGTCACTGTGAATGTGTCCTTGCTGCCATGACCAGTTGTCACCTGAATCCCCTTCCCTGCAAACTGCTGTCTAAGCCGTACAGTGAGTCTCAGGAGCTCTGTGGGATTGTCCCCCTTCCCAGACCTATTGTAACATGTCCTCTGCTCCGTCTGCTGATGTCCTGCAGGCCCTCTCAATACGGCGAGATCAGCCCTCCCTGCCTGGGAGCGCCTGTCTGTCCTACTGGCTTCCTGGGTGAGCTGCAGCTCTAGTAATGATTCCTGTGGAGGGGGGGAGGGGGTGGGCTGTCTGTCCTGCCGTGTCGCTGTTACTGCCCCCGTGTTCCTGCTGCTCCCCTGTGGCATGTCTGACCTAAAGTCTATCCAGAATGTTCTAGTAAAAGGTTTGATTAAAATAAAGGATGTTAAAGGTGTTTTGTATGAAGTGTTTGCTTGTTTGTCCCTGTCAGGGGGAGATTTGAACGCTGGTCCCAGAGGTGGAGAGTCTTATGCCTAATATCCAGAATGGTGGAGATTCTAAAAGCAACAAATACACTCACCTAAAGGATTATTAGGAACACCATACTAATACGGTGTTTGACCCCCTTTCGCCTTCATAACT